TTACTAAGTTTCGATTAGAGGATTACACCTCAAAAATTAAGGTCCTACTAGTACTCTCGTACTGTCCTAGGATTTTTTTTATATCACAGGGGTGCATGCCTGATCATATGCTCCTGCTGGAGCATACACTCATTTACCGTTCCATCAAAGAAAAGTGTATCAAATGATTTATTTCTTTTGTTGGGGTGTAACGACACAACATATCTAAGGTTGAAATGAACAAACCCAACAAACACAATGATTATAGCTCCCTCTTCTAAATCCAGTTTGATATATTGGATTTCCAAGGAAAAGTCAAATCCCAATACTAGTAGTAATGATGTTCCAAACAAAATTATTATAGCTCCCTCTTATAAATCTAGTTTGGTATATTGGATTTCCAGGGAAAAGTAGTCAAATCCCACAGAGTTAGTACTAGTAGTAATGATATTTGTAGTTACATATGGATATTCGGTATAGGAAAGTAGAAAAAGTTTACTCCTATAAAAAGAAAAAAAAATCAATAATTGAAAGTGATAGTTTTGGCTGAAATTGAAGTTTACTGTTTCCATGTTCACTTTTAGTATCTAAGAGTTAGTTTGATATTTTTTTCCATTTAAAAAAGAATTTATGGTGTTTTTGCTTCTAAACCTTGTATTGTTGTGGCAAAAACTATCGTGCTTAGATTGATATTGCTTTAGATCTTGATTTTGGAAATTTAAATAGGAAGCTTGACTTAGATCTTGATTTTGGAAATTTAAATAGGAAGCTTGACTCCCAACTAGGAAAAGGAAAAAATTTACAGAAAATTTCTTATTTTTTAAATTTAAAAATGGTCTTCTATGTTTCATTTTCATGCCTAAGTTCCGTTTTTAGAGTGTATAGTGCATTTAAATTTTACTTATTTATTATCTTTTAGATTAAGCCTGGATTAAGAGAGTGCATACTTCTCACCACTAGGCAACTGTAAATAATACAAAAGATTATTTTAGAATAAAAAAATTTACCAAAATATCTCTGAATCTTATAGGATTATTTTTGTTATTTTATTATAAATTATTGTTTATATATATATATATATATATATATATATATATATGTA